GTGTGCTCTTCCGATCTCCCCAAAACCCCAAAACCCCATCAATCAAATATTAAAGCAAATAAAAAAGCAATAATAATAATAATTAGAAAAGTAACTTATTCTTTATATATCAGATATCATCCTCTATTTCTTCATCCTCGTTTTAACTTGTCTTATTTTCTGCAAAAATAATATTGTCTGCATTGCAGAATAAACATAAAAGGGTTTTAGTCTAAGGATCAAGAGCCTCCTCACCAACATCAAATATTCTTTCCTTTATCATATCCATTGGAATCTCATCATCTATATCCATATCCATTGCCTTGAATATATAATTAGTGAAATGCTCTGCCATTTCATCTATAAACTCTTCAATTTCTGGTCTTGAAAATCTTGTCAAGCACATCTTACTTATCTCCAGTACTTCTTCCTAACTAAGCAAACCATTTCCATCAGAATCAATAATAGCAAAAAACATGTTCACTTTATCACGGAGATTAGTGCTAAAAATTATTTGCATTGCTTTAAGAAATTCCTTCCAATTTAAATATCCACTTAGTGAGACGTTGCTAGATTAAAAGATCTTTTCAACAAGATCGCTGTTTTCAACTGATAATTATGAAATCCCTGATCTAAAGGTGTCTTAATCAATTCCTCTAATAGGACTACTGATCGATTTCAAAGCGCTTAACTTACAAAGAGTTTTGAACAAAGCAAATATCTTATAGAGTTCAAACCTATTAAATGAGAATTCCTTCATAAGCTTAGGAATATTTTTGTCCACAAGACCTTTATATTTCTAATCTACTCTCTTAAAGACAAAATTATCACCAAGAGCATTTTTATTGATTTCTAAGAAATTCTTTTAAATCTCAATTCTCTGAGACATTTGACTCTTTGACTACCTAGACGCTTGATTTCTGCTACTAACCTTTGATCTACTTTGCTTTTTCATTATTACTCTAAGAAAATTGTTAAGTTCCATTTCAAACTGATAGAGGGAACTCTTTTCAAGATCTGAGAAAATTGAATGCTCTTTCTTTTTTTATTCTTCATCCTATACTTTTTGAGAAGATCCTATTGATTAGCTTTACATATGCTATGAAGTTTATGATTCCTATAGATTTTCCATATCCTCTACAAGTTCCCCTAAATAATCTTTGTTTTTATCAATTACTCTTATATAAGGTTAATCGCAGTTAATTTCATCATATTACTGCTAAATTTTGGTGTTAACTTTAGAGTCATTTAAGTCAATTTTGTTTCTTACTAGTCTGATAAAACTATGATCCTTCTTCAATTATTCCTAGGTAAACTGCCATAATTCCTCTTGATCAATAATATTTGTATCTGGATAGTCCATTAATACATTTTCAAAATCTAATTGTGAAAATTTATTATACTTTGTCAAATTGACCAGTTTTTGAATATATTTCTTTGAATCTTTACTACTGAGGCCAAGCTGACTAACATCTTTCCCATCTTATTAACCAAATACATTCTAATCCCTTGAAATGACTTAAGGACATAGTCCATTTGTAGATAATAGAATTGTTATTTGATGATTTTCTGAAAATTTAGAAATAAGTGCTATGTCTATAAGTGAAAACATAGGTATTTTGTATGGCATAAAAAAAGCATGCGAGAATGAGCATTTTAGATTCAATACAAGACTAGATTACTCTAAAAATTGCCTAAATTATAATTCAATAGCCTCCTTTCCCTCGCTCACTAAAATTCTCTTTGGCAGTTTGAATAGCTTGAACTTAAAATTGTTCTTTGTCTATGAAGGACCATTCTAAGGAGCACATATCCTTATAATCCTATCTTGAAGGTAATTCCTAATTTTCGAAACTTCCTCCTCTGACAATCTAATGTTTCTTTCATCTTCTTCTTTTGCTTGCTATTTTTTGAATTTTGCTATGAAGTTCTCATAGTTGTGTACTCGATGCTCTTTGAGATTGACTTAAGCAGTTAAATTGACTCTTTTAGATTAAAGAATAGATCGATACTTGTTTTCTTGTGATGAACTCCTCTTGCCTATATTTTCAAGGTTGCTTTGCATCTTCCAAGATTTTTCAAACTACCTAGTCATGATTTACCTATGTCCTTTTAATCTATCTATAATATGATGGTTTTGGAATATCTTTCTATTTTAAACAAGTTGAGTCTTGAAGAAGTTATTGTTTTGCTGCTAAAATGGTACAGGAAGGATTAAATCCTCATTTATTTTTTATCTATCTTACTGATATTGAAGATCATCGTTTTTAATGTAATAACTTAAAATATTGCAATTTCTTCTACTACTGTTTCCACCACTATTATCTCTCGAACCAAAAATTACTGAGCCTTGTTTTATTGTATCTGCATTACTCTACCTTCTATCCACAGTAAAAATTTGAATTCTTTCAGTTATGTCTTAACTTTCATTTTTATTTAAGAATGCTAACTAGGATTTAGTTCGAGTGAGATACTTCTCAGATTAGTTTCTAATAAATTTATCTTGGACATCATCTTTACTTTATCTCGTCGTATATGCTCCAAATGGTGACTACTTGATAATCCTTTTTAACTAAACTTAAGGTGTACTAACTCTTTGAGTGTATAACTATTAAGATGTTTTCTTATTTTTATCTGGGAATATAAAGAGTTTTTGTTTCATTTCAGAGAAATTCTATAAATTTTTCATGATTTTTTTAAAGTACTTTAATTTATTTCATATAAATACTAACTACTCTTTATTAAAGCTGGTGGGGTTTTGGGGTTTTGGGGTTTTGGGGTTTTGGGG